ACAATAATAACAATAATGACAAATGTGAAAAAAACGATGATGATAATTTTGATAATGATGATTATGATAATAATAATAACGGTTGTGATAAAAATGATAAAATAAAAGTTAAGTTAATAATTATGAGGATAGTAGCCGTACTAATAATGATTATGGTAAAAATAAGAACAAAAATAACAGCGACAATGATAATGATATTAATAATAATTGATGATGATGAAGATGATGATGATAGTGATAAAGATGATAAAAATGATATTTGTAATTATAATAATCATTATAAGATGATGATGATGATGATGTTCATAACGATAAAGATAATAATAATCATATTAATAATAATGATGATAATTATAATAATAATGATGATAAACATGNCACAATATGTAAACACGCACTGGCCTTGAGCTCGCAAGAGAGTTTGAAAGTTACACGAAATAAATGTGAAAATGAAAGCACTGATATAGTATAACTGATTGAAATATTGATTAATTGAAAACTTTTGTCTGTGGGAATACACAAGAGTTTCACTGAGTCTTGCTGTTAATAATCACTGATAGTTCGATGAGATTAACTATTTAAGCTAGTCTGCAGATTATGCAGTGAGCAACTTAAACAAAGCACTAAGTGCACTGCACTGCACAACTGAGTTTTGTCCACTGTATTGCGAGAGCTAATCAGAAGAGTTACACTAGTATTTAAGGTAATGCATGCACCTTTGAATGCTAGAGTTTGGCAACGTAAATTAAGAGAGTCTTTCTTTGATGAGAGCTGAGTATAATCTGGCACTTACAGTATACAAAGCTTGCCGCGTGAATACTTACACACACACCTGCAGCGCGCCAAGTCGACCAAGCGCACACGCACAGCGCGTTGAGCCGACAGAGACTACAAGTGTACACAATGTACACAAAAGCCGGGCCTACTGTCGGTCGCTCTCATTTCCAACAATGATGATAATGATAGTGTTGATAATAAAAATTATAATGATGATGATGATCATGATGATTATGATGATAATTATGATGATAAAACTTATGTTGATGCTAATAAAGATGAAAATGATAATAATGATGATATTGATGATCATGATGATAATAATAATAATAATGATGATAATCATTATTATAATTATCATAAGGACAATTATAAAGATAATAATAGAAGTACTAATGTTAATAGTTGTAAAGATAATTATAATAGTGAAGATGTTGTTGATAATGATGACAATAATAATGATGATATTATTAGCAGTTTTGTGGTAACTATGATAATGATAATGATGACAATAATAATGATGATAATATTAAAGATGATTATAATAATAAGAATCAAAATAATTTAAATGACGATGATTACAATGCTTATCATAACAATAATAACAATAATGACAAATGTGAAAAAAACGATGATGATAATTTTGATAATGATGATTATGATAATAATAATAACGGTTGTGATAAAAATGATAAAATAAAAGTTAAGTTAATAATTATGAGGATAGTAGCCGTACTAATAATGATTATGGTAAAAATAAGAACAAAAATAACAGCGACAATGATAATGATATTAATAATAATTGATGATGATGAAGATGATGATGATAGTGATAAAGATGATAAAAATGATATTTGTAATTGATGCTTAAAATTATAATAATAATAATAATTATGATGATGATGATGATGTATAATGATGACATTTATAATCATGACAGTGATTATAATGATAATAGTTATGATAGTGATAATGATAATGATAATGATGATAATGATAATGATGATAATGATGATAGTAATGATGCTTAAAACTATGATTATCATGATGAAAATATGGTGATAACTATAATAATAATAATAAAAACAATGATTATGATGATGATGATGACGATTATAGTTAAAATAATGATGATTATTAGAATAAAAACGTATATGAGGATGATTGTGATAAAAATGTTGTTGATAATGATAATGATGATGATAATGACAATGTTGATAATGATGATGATAATTATAATGACGACGATAATAATAATAATGATGATAAATATGGAAATAATAATAATTATGATAATGTTAATGATAATAATGATAAAAAATATGATGATAGTTATAATTTTAATGATAATACTGATGATGATGCTGATAACGATGATGATGATGAGGATAAATATTAAAGGTATAATTTTATAAATGAGCATTTATAATAATAATAATAACAA